ACACACATAAGAACACATGGTTTAAAAAAAATTGTTTAGAGTCAAACTGGTGGTGTCCATCTGTTACCAAAGCTTTCTGGAAGGGGATATAGGAGCATCTAGGAATTTGAGACCAGCCTCACCTATATGAGATCCTGTCTTTGGCGCTTGCCTTTAATCCCAGCACTGGGGAGGCAGAGGCAGGCGGATCTCTGTGAGTTCAAGGCCAGCCTGGGCTACAGGCTCCAAAGCTACACAGAGAAATCCTGTCTCAAAAAAAAAAAAAATAAAGAAAAAAAAAAAAAGAAAAAGAAAGTCACCACCCATCTCCTGATAACCATTATTTTCCCTTGCTTCCTCCCTCAGTCCTTACAACACTGAGCGGCCTTGGCTTTTGCGGTCTTTTGGTTTCACTCTTCTTTGGTGCTCTCTGGAAAGGCAAATGATTAAGCAGCCGTGTTCCTAGAGTACTTTTCCCTGAAGATTCTGGACTCTCACGGGCTGCTTAAAGCTAAACTGCCATGTAATGTAGACTGTCCTATACATTAGGGTAGTCACTCTCGGTCTCCAAACGTCCCAAGTTCTCCTGGAATGTTATTCTTCCTTCTTCCTCACAGCTACCGGCCTTCATGACATCTTGTCATTGTGTATGTGTGTGCATTTATCTCCTCTCTATAGCAATGTGCAATTCTCCTTCCCCACCCGCCCACCTCAGTTAAGATATGGTTTCACTCAGTAGCCCAGGCTGTCACTATGTGAATCTTTTTTTTTTTTTTTTTTTTTTTGGTTTTTCGAGACAGGGTTTCTCTCCAGCTTTGGAGCCTGTCCTGGAACTCACTCAGTAGCACAGGCTGGCCTCGAACCCACAGAGATCTGCCTTTAGTGTTGGGATTAAAGGCGTGTGCCATCACTGCCTGGCACACTATGTAAATCTTACTAGCCTACTTGGCTTGAAACTCCTCCTGCCTGCCTCAGGCTCCCCCAGTTTGGGGCTTACAAGCAGGGGCCACCACTCCTTGAGTACTTAACTGTAAACTGGTTTGACTTCCTTGCCATAGCCTGCAAATTCACCAAAGAGCTTGGCCTGAGAAAGTCCCTCGACACTCTTCCTGTGCAGGTAGTAAAATACAGCTAGAGGAAGCTTTTATTCTGATACCTGTCTGCCAAAAACCAGAAACCAAAGGCTGGAGTGCAGAACTCGAAGAGCTGGAGCAGACATTTAAAAAGCAGTTCTAGGAATACCGAGGGCCAAACCTTCCCTGATTTTGGATAGCTGGTATGTTTGGATTGGCCACAGGAAATCATAGTTTCAAAACCAACAATGGTGTTTTCTGTCTGCTGGAAGGCAGTCTCTCATGTAGTCCACCCCAACTGGCAGCAAGTCTGCTCCATGTTAAGCCTTCTGAGAGTCATTCAAATGTTTATGGGATGTGTGTGGTGGCTCACACCTGTAATCCTAGCACTCAGGAGGCTGAATCTGAGGCTCTTCAAGAGTCTGAGACCAGTCTGGGCCTCACTGTGAGTTCTGGTCCAGCCTGAAGTACAATATTAACCTGTTTCAAAAAAGAAAATGATAAATATAACCCACTCTGTACTGACAGTTAAATGTATAAATCCTCGTGTGTATTGAATTTCTAAGACTGTTAAGGTGAAGTGAAAGCAACCAGGACAATTTATCAGAATATACCTCAGAGAGAATCCTGTTCCTCTTAAGTCGCCTCCCTTAAAAAAAAAAAATTACACTTATTTGTATATGTACGTGTGTGCCACAGAAAGTGTGGCGGTCGGAGGACAGCTTGGGGGAGTTCCCTTCTACCACGTGGGGTCACAGGGAGTGAACTCAGGTCGTCAGGATTGATGGCAAGTGCCTTTTCTGGCTGAGCCATCCTGCCGTCCCCAGGTTTGTTTCTCATAAAACCCGAAATGGTTGAACATGTCCACAGGCTTGAGCTGGGAATGGATGCTGAGCTCAGGCTAGTTGAAGTGAGAAAGGGAAATTGACATTTAGCAGGAGGGTGCCCTATGTCCCAGGAGCCTCACCCAGGAAACACCTCCAGGCAGGGACTCAAGGAGCCTCTCAAACACACGTCTTCCCAGATCCTCTCTCTGGCTCATGTTCATTGCTCGTCTCTGTTTTACAGGAAGAGGTTTTCTTAAAGATCGCATTTATTAATTTAGTGTGTATGCAGACGGAGGGCACAAGGGATAACGTGTTCATGTGGGGGGCCTGAGGAACAACTCTCCAGACTGAGTTCAATCTCTCCATGTGGATGCAGGGGCTTGAACTCAGGTTAACTGCCATGTTCCCAGCCTTTGATTTTCTATACAGTATACTTAAAATGCCTGAGTATAATTAACTATGTTTTATCTATTGGTCTTCTGAGCTTGCCCGGAAAGCCAATTAAAAGAATAAAACATTTTTACCCCAAAGAGGTGAACATACTCAGTACTCTCAGAACATGAAACGTTGTAGTTAGCATGTGGTAGCACTTGTGACATAATCCTGGTCAACTGAACAAGATGCCTTTGGGTTTGTGTATCTATGGACTCAATGAACAGCAGGATGGATTGAGAGTATTGTGACTTTCAAAGGTAACCAGGTTCAAACTCCAGCTTGGTTATCTTTGGAAAGGGTCAGTTATACCTAATCTTTATTAAACCTAGATAAATATTGTTCATTCATGGCCCTGAGATTAAAATATCTGTCTCTTAATTGCTATTGTGCCCTTAAACTGCTTCTATGACCTCTGAGGAAAAGGCTCCACTTTTCATTTTCAGTTCTGTACCCCTCTCCACAGTTTATTCCACGTCATGTTCCCAAGTCATATTGTTAGCCTTCTGTGCAGAGTAGTGGGCAATTATTTTCTTCTAGCAATTAAGTGAGACTCCATTCTTCTGTTTTTGGCTAGGACTGAAAGCAGTTGGATCTGTTAGTAAAAACCACCACAGGACATCCAAGCGAACGTTCGCCTACAGAAATGCACGCCCTGTGAGTCAAGGTGCAGCCCCACACCAGCGTCCCAGTCTGAACGACCTCACTGGAAAAACAGCTGAAGTGAAGGTCTCTTGCTGCACTGCCGCTCCTATGGCCGATCGCTGCCCTGAGCACCGCCCCGCCCCACTCAGTACTCTGTTGTAGATATACAGTGTTGGACACGTAGATGTCACCGGGTTGCAGTGAGTACTTCCACGCGTGCCAAGGGGGTTAGGATGTCACCGTGTTTCACGAGCCGTTCCCAATCCTTTCAAACTACATCTTCTAGGTCTGAAGAGGTGAGTCCTGTTCTGCTGGAGGATGAAGCCCAGAGGCTGAAATACAACACCATGCAAAACCGGAGGTGGCTGAAGGCAGTGAGCTGACCTGGCGCCCGGGCGACGGTCCAACAGGCGAGGCGGAGAGCGGTCATCAAGCGTTCCGCACACGAGGCCACAGCAGCGGACCCGGTAGCGCCGCCCAGAGAAAGACTAAGGACCTGAGACTCACAGGAGGGAACGCAGCAATGCAAAGGCGCGAATTTTGCGACCACAGGCCAGGCTCCGCCCCAGGGCGGTGCCTAGGCCGGAAGGGAGCGGGACCGCCGGGGCCCGTCGCCTAGGCAACCACTTGTTCTGCCCGGGCTTTTCAGAAAGCCCTAAATCCGGGACTGTGGGGGAAGGGCGGGATGGGGAGCCGCAGGCTGCGGGAACCTGCGGGCGTGCGCCCGGGTGCAGGCAGCCTCCCCAGTATGGTGAGGACACGGGCAGCCTCAGGTGCGGCAGGGGAAGGGCTAGGACCGGGGCGCTGCTCCCGCCAGCCCGCCCTCCGCAGATCTCCGAGCTGAACGGAGAGCAGCACCCCTCGGGGGCCCCTTTGTCTCCAGGTCATTCCAAACTCAGCTGCGAGAGAGGCGACACAAAGGGACGGCGGGGGCGGACGGCGCAGGCGCGGGCGGCCGCCGAGGATGCTGGGACTGGTGGTCCCTCCGCGCCTCGCTCGATGCCCTCCCGCGCGGGTCCGCAGCCAGGGCCGGACACCTGCGCATGCGCGCCCACTTCCGCCTCCCCTGGACCCGCCCGCTCGGTGCCTCCTCGCGGAGGACAGCTCTCGAGTACTAGGGAGCGCGGGAGGCGTTGCCGGCCCCACCACACCTCCTCCTCGTCCCGATTGGCCGCAGAGGTAAGAGCCGCAAGGGGATTGGCTGTGGCCGTTGCCAGTTCTGTGCGGGGGCCCTATTTATACCGTGCTAGGGGGCGGGGGAATGCAGTGAGCCTGGAGGATGGTGGCTCCGCTCCGTGTGGTCGGCTCTCGACAGCGGCGGTCCGGAGGCTCGCCCGGCCCCGGAGTGTCCTTAGAGGAGCAGGCCGCCACCCCGCCGCTCCCGGCCGGCGTGCGGCCCCGCCCAGGAGGTCCGCCACCGAGTGCCAAACTCCTAGTAAAGTTTCGCGTCGCCGGCCGCCCCTGCCCCGGCGGCCCTGCCGCTGTCCCCTCCGCGACCCTGGCCCCCAAGCGACAGTGACAGGCCACGCCCCCGCGCGGGCCGGCCTCGCGGCCCGCCGCCCCCTGGCCCGGGACGGTGAGGGGCGTGAATGCGGTGGGGGCGGGGCCGCCTCCGGGAGGGGGGGGCGGCGGGGCGCATGCGCGCTGCGCGCGGGGCTGAATGTTTCCCAAGTGTTTGAAACTGGTATTTGGGTTTTCCACGTTGGACAAGTGCGGCGGCGAGGCGGGCGGTGGAGCGCGCCCTTCCCGCTGCCGGCCCCGCTCTCTCCGCTCTCCACGCTGGTGGCGGGTGGGCGGCGGTGGCCGGCCCCCTTTGGGTGTGTGCGCGCTCGTACGCACGGCCCCCCGCGCCGCCCGCCGCCCGGGAGGGGGCCTGCACGGCCGGCGGGGCGTGCGCCAGAGCCTCGGCCGCCGCGGCCCGCGCCTGCAGGCGCCGGGGTCCCCGCGGCCCCGGAGGCGGTGCGGCGGGCGCCAGATGTAGCCGCCGGCCGGCCCGGCCGAAGTGGCGGGGGGGCGCGGGAGGGCGAGAGCTTTGCATTTTGCAGTGCTGTTTGAGGGGGGCGGGGGGTGGAGGAAGCGGAAAGCCGCCGAGTCGCCGGGGACCTCCGGGGTGAACCATGTTGAGTCCTGCCAACGGGGAGCAGATCCACCTGGTGAACTATGTGGAGGATTACCTGGACTCCATCGAGTCACTGCCTTTCGACCTGCAGAGGAACGTCTCGCTGATGCGGGAGATCGACGCCAAATACCAAGGTACGGCGGGTGATGGATGGGCGGGGGCGGCCGCGTCCATCCCTGGGTCCCGGCGACGAGGCTGGCTGGTCCTGCTGGAGCCGGAGCTCCCGGTGGCGTCCTCCGAGGGCTAGGAACAAAAGGTCTGGAGCGCCTTTGATACGCCGAGGTCCTTGTGTGCCGAGCCCCGGGACATGGAGGAGGAAGGAGCGCGAACGGCTGGCTGCAAGGCTGCGCGACCAAAGCGCTCTTTGTAGTGAAGTGATGAGGCGGTGCTGCGGGGGAGGGGGCGCGGGGCTCGGCCGCGTCCTCGGGGAGGGGGCGCGGGCCGCTGCGCGAGGTGGAGTGCTGCTATACGGACGCCGCGGCCGCAGGGCGCGGGCGCCCGGCTGGAGAGACGGCTGCGGGCCGGGCTCCCGCGGACCTGAGTGCCGGTCCCGAGTGCCGCCGCCCCCCGCCCGGTCCTGAATCCAAGTGTTACATAAAGTCCTGGGCAGTCCCGACCCGGGGTCGCGCGATCGCCCAGGCCCTGCCTTGCCGGGGCCCTCCCTTGGCTCTGGACACGGCTCCGGGCCGACCGTGAGGGGCGCCGGCGCCGTGTGTCTTGCGGAGGAAGAGGGTGGAAGGGAGGATCGCAGCCGACTAGGTGCACGGCTGTGCTGCGCTCGGTGGGCGCGAGCTGGGCTCCGGCCGGAGAGGGACGGGGCAGGTGAGGGACCTGCAGTCCTCCCGGAGACCCGGGCTGCCCCGAGTGGCGAAGAGGCGGAGCCTGCGTGCCCGCCGGGTACTGTTGGTTGTTGGGGAAACTTTGCTGCGAGGCCAGGGGGCTCTGTTTTGAACGTGGATGGCCGCTCGGAGTTTACTCTTGTTTACAGAACTGCGCAGCAGGGAAACGGAAGAGTTGGGGGAGGCGGAGGGCCGCCGTTCAGGCCCACACACCGAGACCTGCCGGGGAAAGCGCCCCTGCGCGCTCTATCCGAGATGCAGCTTCGCAGCTCGGTTTATAGGGGAGTCATTAACATACTGCGGAACGTTCCGCCTCTGCGGCCCCGTGATTGGTCCTAACATCCCCCGTGGAATGTCCTTATCAGTGTGCTGCGCAGTCATTGGTGGGCGGGCCGCCTGGGGGCGGGCCTTGCTCGGGGACGCGCTCCAGTCTGTGTTTCCGCTGCCTGCTATTCTCTCTGTGGAAGAGGGCCGGGCGGAGGGAGGAGGCGAGTTGATTTGAATGTCTTCGGGTCGCCCGTCCTCTGGCCTTGGATTGGCTCCTGCCGCCGCTGGGGCGGGCCATCCTCGCGGGTCCTGCGGTTTGATTGGGCTCCCTGCTGGTCTCCGCCCTCAGCGTCGTCGATTCACATAGGCCTCGGGGCGGGGCGGAGCGCGCTTCGCGAGTCTCATAGGCTGGAGGGGTCGCGGTCACTTTCCGGCCGCGGGGCCATGGCGGCGCCGGCCCCCGGGAGGCCGCTGCGATTGCCTTGGCCGCTCTGGCGCCGCGCGGGCAGCTCTGGCCGCTTCTCGCATTTCCGGGAGGCGTGAGTGAACTGGGAGCACCCCTGTCGGGACTGCGGGTCGGTGTGTCCGGGCGCTGTCCACCTGGAGCCCCGCCGACGCGGCCCCTACGGGCTTGTATGTCGGACCGGCGTTAGAATAAGTCCTTGCTCAGAACAACTGTTGCAGGTCGAGCTTTTTGACGGTCGCCTAGTGCTTCGGGTGTAGAAGAGTCTGGAAGAAGAGGTTGTGGCTTGCTCGTTGTAAATGGAGTTTGTTGCCTGAGTTACTTTTCGAATGTTATAAAAATACCCCGTTGGAAGCAATGCCTCATCAAAAACTTAGGTGCTGTCTTACATAAGTTAAATACCTTTTTGGTAATTGGACAGACTAAATGGTACTGCGGTCTGATGTATTCACCACCTATATCATCCCCGGTACTTTACGGTGGTCCAGCAGCAGTCCGAAGCTGAGCTGCGGTGCTGCCCTTGTTTGTTGCTTTCAGTGGTTTTGTTGATCGAATACTTTGCTTAGGGTAATTAAGAATCTGCTACTGTGGCTCCCACGGTAACTTCGTGGTACGTTTTTGATGGGATTTTTCTCCACATGCCTCAACTAAAGCCGAAGGAAGCAGTTGTTTACATTTAAATTTAATTTAGCAATGGATAGAATTGCTCTTCTACAAAATACCAGTATTATCTTTGAAACATGGCTGGGTGTGGTGACACATGCCTGTAATCCCAGTGGCGGCAAGATCAGCAGCTCAAGGCCAGCTTTGATTGTACAGCATGTTCGTATAGCATGTTACAAACCTCGCTGGTTTGTTTGTTCGTTCATTTGCTGTTGTTTTTTTGCTAAGGTCTCACTCTGTAGCCTTGGCTGACCTGGAACTCTTGTAGATTCGCTTGCCTCTGCCTCTGGAATTTAAGGTATGTGCCATCATACCCTAAAAACGCCTGTTTGGGGCTGTCTTCGGTAAGTCAGATCAGTTGACTTACCTCTTTAGAGACTGGGACTGTTCATCCTCTTGTGTGGTTCTTCCTGGAATACCTCCAGAACCTGAACATGGCCTTACCTGTTGAGACACTTCAGGGTCAGCCCTGTGTTGTTGTCCAATAGGATTTTTGTTGTTATTTTTATTTGTTTTGAGACAGGGTCTCCATATGTGGCCCTGCCTGGCCTGTATAAACCACAGTGGCCTGGAACTCAAAAGAGGTCTGCTGACCTCAAACTGACAGAAGACAACAGAGCAGGTGGGGTGGTAATTTTCTAGATATCCTTCTGACCTCCAGCCTGTCCACACAAGTGCCCTAGTTAGAGCATTTTCAGTGGTTGCATTAAGAAATGGCCAAAGGGTCTCAAGAAAAATCTGATACTATTTACTGTTTGAAGAAAATCGCTCTGGGAATTTTCTGTGTATATAATTAGACTTTGGTACAGAATGTTTAATTTTTCTAGCATTCACATTTATTTTTAAAATGACCAGCGATCTTATTTGTTCATTTCTGGCATTTGAAGCAGTCTTTGACATCTTGGCTTGAGGTCCTTTGTAGTCTTTAAGCACTACACTATGTCAAGCCACCCACTCCATAGGGTTTCCCTTCTGTCAGCTTTTACAGCCGCCCACCCATTCCCCCGCTGTCTTGTTATCAGCCTTAATCTGACTGATTGGATGCTCAGCGCAAAGGGTCTCTACCACCTTGACACAGAGATTCACATACTTGCACATAAGCACACGAAGGTGGGCTTGGCGCTTGTCTACGGCTTTGGCAGCTTGGTAATTCCATGTGCAGGGCTGGTGGATGAGGGCAGTCTTCAGCACTTCTCTTGTAAAGCAGTATTGATGCCCATTACACCTTAAGCAGAAACCCCTCCTTGAGCTGTGGCATGGGTTACCACAAAGCCAAACCATGAAAACATCCACGCCTCCAGAGACCCTGTCTGCAAAGGAAAAGCTAGTTGTTTCTGAAACCGGGTCCACGTGTGTAACCCAGGCTGGCCTCACACTGTGCTTCTGCTGCAGTGTTTTGAGTCCTGAAATTGTGAGCTGAATTCTTTGATTTCAATTAGATTACTTATCAGTTTTTATTTCTTGGAAATTGTCTAATTACATTTGCCAAATGGCATTTTATAAGCATACAGGCTTATTTTAGCCTTTCTAGGAAGGCTTTACTTTAATACTAGGGTTTAGTTCTCAAAATGTTATTATGGAGTACTTGGAGACAGAGGCAGGCAGATCTCTGTAGGTTCCAGGACAGCCAGGGCTACACAGAGAGACTGTTTGTTGTGTTTTGCTTGCTTGCTTGTTTGTTTAATATTGTAAGCAGTAGATTAAAGTATTATGAGTTGTAAAGTAAAATCTGTCACTTTTGTTTTAAAGCAAGGTTGTCTTGTGACTAGAGCATTCTTGTTTTCAGTAATAGAGAACATCATGCTGGAGTGGCCATAAGGGGACAGATACATAGCGGGCCTCTGTTGTAACCCTAGTCTTTAAACCATAGGGCACCATCTTCTAAGTCTACATGCCTTCTCTGTAGAGTATTCCAGACATTGAGATGCTCAAATGCAAGGGGTAGAGAGACCTGACCTCAGATGCCCAGAATACAGGTAAAAAGTGCCTGTGACCCCAGCTGGGGAGTAGAGAGAAGAGAGTCCCTGGAGCTCAGTCCCTGCTCCAGGTTCAGCGACACTCTGTCTCAGATAAGGTGGAGAGCAATACCCAAACACAAAGAAATACAGAATAGAAGCTTTAAGTTATTCAAAGATATTTCAACAGAAGCTGTGAAAATGTGATTGACAGGGGAAGAAAAAGTTCAGGCTGAAGCACTTATTAACTGGAACTTTCTATTCCATCACCTCAACTTCACTAACTGGGAACCACATCTTACACATGGCAAGGGTTTCGCACCAGGAAACTTGGCCCTTGCTGTTTCTGCCCCTTGTGATTTTTTTAAATGAGAAACAAGAGAATTAGATAAAAGGCTTTCTTAGTTGGTATTGGGTTTCTTTACCAGTCCCTAGTGAGTGTATAATGCAGCCTGTGTTTGTTTATAGAGATCCTGAAAGAACTGGATGACTGCTACGAGAAGTTCAAGCGCGAGACGGACGGCACACAGAAGAGGCGGGTGCTGCACTGCATCCAGAGGGCCCTGATCCGCAGCCAGGAGCTGGGCGATGAAAAGATCCAGATCGTGAGTCAGATGGTGGAGCTGGTGGAGAACCGCACCAGGCAGGTGGACAGTCACGTGGAGCTCTTCGAGGCACACCAGGACATCGGTGACAGCACTGGCAGCAGCGGCAAGGCCGGCCAGGACAAGTCAAAGAGTGAGACGATCACTCAGGCGGACAAGCCCAACAACAAGCGGTCCCGGAGGCAGCGAAACAACGAGAACCGAGAGAACGCGTCTAATAATCACGACCACGACGACATCACCTCAGGAACACCCAAGGAGAAGAAAGCAAAAACCTCAAAGAAGAAGAAACGCTCCAAGGCCAAAGCAGAGAGGGAAGCCTCTCCCGCAGACCTTCCCATCGACCCCAACGAGCCCACGTACTGTCTGTGCAATCAGGTCTCCTATGGAGAGATGATCGGCTGTGACAACGATGAGTGTCCCATCGAGTGGTTCCACTTTTCTTGTGTGGGGCTCAACCATAAACCAAAGGGCAAGTGGTACTGCCCCAAATGTCGGGGGGAGAACGAGAAAACAATGGACAAAGCCCTGGAAAAGTCCAAGAAAGAGAGGGCTTACAACAGGTAGTGTGTGGACGTGCACACGGGCAGGAGAACAAAACCCAAGTCCCAGGACGGGCAGATGAGTATTTTTAGAGACTGGTAGAGATGGATCCTCTCCTCGGGATGGCAGGAACAGCCTGTGTCTTCATGGTGTACCTGTAACCAGACTGGGTCTGCAGATCAGCGTTTTAGAAACTACAAATATAGGTTCGAATTAAACATGTCAGCAAGTGTCAGACTGGTTTTTGGGGTTGGGGAGTGACTTGGAAGTAACCTAACAGATGTATAAAGAAGAGATTTAATTTGGCTGTTTCCACAAAAAAAGTTATGGTTTACAAAAAAAAAAAAATTAGCCAGGTTGCTGAAGTACAGCAAGTGTGCTTCTCGCTGCCATAATGTATATCCACATGACAAGTTGGTCAAAGGTTTAAAGTCTAAATATTATTTTTTAAAAAGGTTAATGGGTAAATTTTACATGACATATTTTATACATGGCCTCTTCCCCAACTGGCCATTTTTAATGACTGGGTACATTTTTAATAGGTCAGATACAAGTGGTCCAGGCAGTGGGTCCAAGTCTTGCCTCTGCTACCCTAGGTCATGTGTGGCCACCTTTAACTTATGAAGTGTATAAATGTACATTTTCCAGCCACCTTGCCCTGCTGTATTATAACCGGAAGTGCAGCCTGGTGCTGTTGTGAAGCCAAGGTGTGCGTCCTGCTGCGTGTGTGAGCTGTATAGATGTTGCGTCAAGAAATAAATGAAACTTGGCCAGTTTGTTTCTTTAGCATTTAATTTTAACATACAAATCATTTTAAATTTTTTGTCTTAAAAATTTATACACCAGCAGTTTAGACAAAGCCTTAAGCAAATTGTATATTATTGATCTCACGTAATAAGGAAGTAGACATTATGTCTATGCCAGCAAATAAATGTCAAAAAATACTTAGAGCAGAGGGTAGAAAGTGACTGTGTATTTGAGATCCAGCCCCACCGTTCGTTTTGTGTGGCCTGTGAGCTAAGAATGGTCTCTGTGTTTCTAAGTGGTTTTAAAAATCACATTTCATGCTACATGAAAGTCCTATGAAATTCAGATTGGAGTGTCCATAAATAAAGACTCATTGGAACACAGCCATGTTTATTTCCTTATGTGCTGTCTGTAGCTGCTTGTGTAGAACCCAGACCGGCCCTGGAACACAGCCATGCATATTTCCTTATGTGCTGTCTGTGGCTGCTGGTGTGGGACCATGACCTGCTGACAGCTGACGTTGGCCACCCATCCGTGGCACGTGTCCTTAACTACCCACGTAACTGGAGTCCAGATCTCCAGCCCTGGGTGCTGTGTGCTTTGCTTGAGCTCTGAGTATGTTGAGGCAGAGTCTGTGGGGCCTTGGCCTGGTCACTGTAAGTGTGGCTCCTTCTGTTTGTAGTGTCCATCAGTTAGCTGTTTTCTGACGATGGCTTTTGAGAATTTTTCTTACACTGGGCATAAATTCTGTTTTCTGGTCTTTCCATTGTAGAGTTACTGCCTGAGCACTGAGTTACAGCTGATAATTCCTTAAAAGTGAGCTCTTTGTACATTAGTGTTTGAACTTTGTGCGCATTGATGTTCACAGACACTTAAGTATTTATTTTCTAGCAGAGGATTAGAACCATTAAGAATAAATCTACTAGCTGGGCACGGTGGCACACACCTTTAATCTCTACAGAGTGAGATCCAGGACAACCAGGGCGACAAAGAGAAAACCCTGTCTCAAAAAACAACCAAAAAATATACTAACTAAGCCAGAGTTTTTTTTTTTTTTTTTTTTTTTAAGATTTATTTATTATGTATACAGTGTTCTGTCTGCACGTATCCCTGCAGGCCAGAAGAGGGCACCAGATCTCATTACAGATGGTTGTGAGCCACCATGTGGTTGCTGGGAATTGAACTCAGGACCTTTGGAAGAACAAGCAGTGCTCTTAACCTCTGAGCCATCTCTCCAGCCCAAGCCAGAGTTTTTAATAAATGATGATGAGAATTAAAATACTTGATAAAAGGAGCCAGAGAGAAGGCTCAGTGGTTAAGAGTACTTGCTCTTACAGAAAACAAAGTTTTGATTCCCAGTACCCACGTGACTCAGGAACCGATGCTGTCTTCTAACCTCCACGAGCACCGGGCACATACGTGTTGGCCTTCGTTTATGCAGGCCAAAACTAACACAAAAACAATTTAAAACAAAACAAAAACACTGGGTGCAGCAGCAGGCAGAGATCTCTGTGAGTTTGGGGCCAGCCTGGTCTAAATGACAAATTCCAGTCCAGCCAGTGCTACACAGAGAGACCCAGACTCACAGGAAAAAAGAAGGTAAAAACTCACAGTTGTTTGGGAGTTTCTCCTTTCTAATTGAGCCAATAATGACAAGTCAGAAGAGGAAAAGGAGTACATTTCTTCATGCAGACAGCTCGATCAGGTAGTGGGGAGACGGAGCACCTCGCGGTGTGGGGCCCTCGTCTGTTCTTTTGGATTTGCTCCTAACACTGCTTAACTCCTGGCCAAGTTCTTCACTTCGGCAACGCCTGCTTCATGTTAGCGTGGTTTTGAGAAATAGGGGCGATTACTCCAGTAAGACGGTGGCTAACGGAGTGAGGCGTGCTGAGAATCTTCTCAGGACCCATGGGACCACCTCAGACAAGTTGTGTTGTTTGCCTCAAATCACTGATGAGTTCCAGTGGGCAGTAAGAAAGTCACAGGCGAGCACCTTGATGTGTCAGGATTTAGGGCTGCAGTCATAAATGCAGGAGAGCTCTGCCACCCAGGCGGACGGACACTGGAGCAGGATACTACTCTTAGGACAGCTGCTTCCACCTACTTCCACCTATTCAGTACTCTCTTGTGGACATGGTTCACATAGGTCTGAGATAATCTCCATATGATGCAATACCTTTGTCGGTGTTGTGGTTGTTTTTGTTTTTCCGTGTGTGGGTGTTTTGCCTGCATGGATGTCTGCACCACTTTGTGTCTGGTGCCCACAGAGGCCAAAAGATGGCATTGCGCCCCTTGTTTGAGAGCCACCATGTTGTTGCTGGGAATTGAACTCTGGACCTTTGGAAGAGCAACCAGTGCTCTTAACCTGGGAGCTCTCTCTCCAGCCCCCGAGATTGGACTGTTAAAAGTTGTCCTCCTCACACTTGACCTTCACACTTGGGCTTGGCACATATGCACACGGAGTGCACGCCTGCTTGCACACACACAATACATTTTTTGAGGGTTGCTGCGCAAGCCAACTTGAGGTCAGCATTGAACATTGCTAGCAGGCACACTCACTTTTGAAGGTTAGGGATGACGCCCATGCGGCCCTGCTCCAGGACAAGTGCTCTGCCCCCAAACTTCGTCCAACTCTTGGACTCTGTTAAATCTTACGTTGCTCACATTGCCTTGAACAGGTGATGAAAGTATTTTAGTTTTATGAGCTAAGATTGTGTGGGTTTTGTTTTCTGTGTTAGATCTTCCTTACATCCCTGGGGCCAAGAAGACCCAGTTCCCGGTTAGGGACTTTGGTTTTGTTTATTTTTGAGATGGGCCTGAAACTGGGGCTGTAGCTGGGGCTGGCCTCTAACACCTGCTCATCTTGCCTACCCTTCCCTAGTGCTGGGTTACAGGGTGTGCCATCACACCCAACTTCTCGTGAGGGTTTCAGTCTCGGGTGAGGGACTGCCTTACACAAGGCCACACCTGACTGTGGTTCAGGACCTGTCCCTCTTCTGTACCGTCTACCGCCTTGTTCCAGGTGGCCTGGTGCCCAGCCTTGGTGCAGTCCAACAGTGGCTGGCTGCAAATGGGAAGTCCAGGAATCCAGTAGTTGCTCAGTCCACAAGGTTGGGTGTCTCAGCTGGTCTTCTGTACATGCTGGAGTCCTGAAGAAGTAGGCTCCAGTGCCAGTGAAGGAATGGATGTGATGGCAGAGGGAGGGCAAGCCGGAGAAGAATGAACAATCCCTTCCGCTGACCAGCACCCAGGCCGATTCCGTAACCTGGACATGCTGGTACCCCTGGTGCATGTTGGCTTAGATTCCTTTGGGCAGAGATACCTGCCATGGTCTAGCTGGGTTGGGAAATGGTTCTGTTCCTAGTGTGTTGAGAAACTGACATACAAACTTTGATAATGGCTGATTTATACTCCCACTGAGAGTATAAGGGTTCTTCACCCAGCCCCTCCTCACCAGCATCTGCGGGGTTTATTTTTTGATAGCCGATCTGGCTGGGTGAGATGGAATATATAGTCATTGCCACTTCTGCTTGCTCCTTAGAGAACTGTTCAACTCCCTTATCCATTTATTGATTGGATTATTGGGGGTTTCATATGTGTTTAATTTATTAAATTATATATATATATATATATATATATATATATATATATTCTGGGTATTAATCCTCTGTCAAATGAATATCCGTCTTAGGGTTTCTATTGCTGTGAAGAGACACCATGACCACGGCAACTCTTATAAAAGGAAAACATTTCATTGTAGCAGGCTTACAGTTTCAGAGGTTCAGTCCATTATTGTCAGGGTAGGAAGCATGATGGCATGCAGGCAGACATGGTCCTGGAAAAGTAGCTAAGAGTTCTACATTTGGATCCGCAGGCAGCAGGAAGAGACTGCCACTGGCCTGGCTTGGCATCTGAGACCTCAAAACCCTCCCCCAGTGACACACTTCTTCCAACAAAGCCACACCTCATCCAACAAGGCCATATCTCCTAATAGTGCCACTCACTCAGGGCCTCTGAGGGCCATTTTTATTCAAACATTATCTTTTGAAGATTTTTTTCTCCCATTCTTAAGCCTGTCTCTTTGCTCTTATTTCCTTTGCTATACAGAAGATTTGATTTCATTTTATTTGTTAAAGATTTATTTACTTTAGGTGGTGGTGCACGCCTTTAATCCCATAATCCTAGCACTCAGAAGGCAGAGGCAGGCCGATCTCTTGAGTTCAAGGCCAGCCTGGTCTTGGCTGTTCCAGGACAGCCAGAGCTACACAGAAAAACCTTGTCTTGAAAAAACAAAAAGCTTCATTTATTTTTATTGTACACATGTGAGTGTTTTTCCTGCATGAATAGATGTATGTCACCGCATGTGTGTGTGCCTGACTCCCACAGAGGCCTGAAGAGGGCATTGGATTCCCGACAAGTAGTTACAACCACTCCGGGTCAGCTACAGCCGTCTGTGTGGAACTCGACTTCCAGGGGCTGTGGTGCACTTAGATACATGGAAAGAAAGTACTTTTCTTAAAATGTTTTTTGTTTTTTTTTTAACTTTCAGCCTTGAAATTTTATTTATTTGTTTATTTGTTCAGTTGTGTGTGTGTTAGAGGTGATCGTGAACCACCTGATATGGGTGCTGAGAGCCAAACTTAGGTCCTCTGCAAGAACAGCCAGTGCTCTTTACTGTTGAACCATCTCTCCACTCGGGAGAAAATAGGGTTGAAAGCAAGCTACCTGTCATGTGACAGTTAGTGCTGCCACTACAAGCTAGAGGCGACTTCTCCCCAGCTACCTCATCTTTGCCAGTGCCTGCCAGTGGCCAAAGCTAACAGAGCAGCCGATAGCAAGAAGCTCTGCTTCCTACCTGGGCAGAAGGACGAGTGTAGAAGGGAGCAGCTGAGCCAGTCAGGAGCCGCTGACCCAGTCTAGAGCAGCTGAGCCAGTCGGGAGCCGCTGAGCCAGTCAGTGCTCCTTAACATGGCTCGCTCTTTCAGAATCTGGAAAACTCTTCTTCCTGTGAGGTTTCTTGCTTGGACTGACTGTGCACTCTGCTTTCATTGGTAACGATTGTCACTTTCCTTGTGTGGTGGTTTGAAGGAGAATGGCCCCCAGAGGCTGGTATGTTTGAATGTCTGGTTCCAGTTGGTGGACTGGTTAGGAAGGATTAGGAGGTGTGGCCTTGTTGAAGGAGATGTGTCACTACCCCAGGCCCAGTCTCTCTCTCTCTCTGTTTGCAACTTGTGAGTCAAATGTAAGCTCTCAGTTCCTGCTCCAATGCCATGCCTGCCTGCCTGCTGCCACGTCCCCCACCATGATGGTCATGGACCCACCCTCTGGAACTGTAAGCAAGCCCCAATTAAATGCTTCCTTTTATGTGTTGCCTTGGTCATGT